TGCCGGACGGAAAGCAACGGTTCAAAGAGAACGCCCAGAAGAGACTGGTGGGCAGTATAGTCCTCACGCGGTATAACAACAAACCGTATCGCGTGGATGACATTGACTTCAATTCCAACCCATTGTCAACGTTTGACTGGAACGGAACGCCCGTCACATACGTGGAGTACTTCAAGAAGTCCTGGCAGTTGGACATCAAAGATCACAAACAGCCGCTGCTCGTGAACCGACCCAAACCGCGCAGAGGAGAGACCGTGAGTTCATTAGATTATTGTTTCGGTAGGCGTTTAGTGTGTAGTCAGTGACGGCTGTGATGATAGTCACCGCTGTTTGAGTACATACTGAATGAATGCCGCCTCTAATGTAGCGCTCATTTCAATGGACACTAATTGTTGTGTTTTGTCCCCAAAGGAGTCGCAAATGATTTGTTTGATTCCAGAGCTGTGTTTCATGACTGGACTCACAGACGACATCCGCTCGGATACCCGAATAATGAGAGACATCGCTTCGCACACGAGAATTAAGCCGACTGTCCGTCAGGCGAAACTCCAGGTTTTCATTGATAATGTGCTCAACACTCCGGCCGCCCGACGCCATCTGACTGATTGGGGACTGGATTTGTCGCCAAAACCGTACGAAACGTACGGTCGAACGATGACCGCCGACCGCATAGTCCTCGGGGGCGGCAAAGAGGTGCCCGTCAGCGCCAAAGCCGACTGGTCTCGAGACGCGACCAACTGTGCGCTCTTCCATCCGATTAATGTCAACAAATGGATGATTGTCTTCACGCAGAAAGACTCGGCAAAAGTCGACGAATTCATAAAGTGCTTGAAAGCCGTCACCCGAATGATGGGCTTCACGTTCGCCGATCCCGACAAACACGTGGCTAGAGATGAGACGCCCACCGGTTATGTGAATGCCATCAAAGGGTCGAACGCCTCCCAGTGCCAAATAATAGTCTGTATGACTCCCGGCTCGTCGCAGCGCGAAGACCGCTATAACGCCATCAAAAGGCTGTGCTATTGCGAGCTCGGGATTGCCAGTCAAGTCGTCAGATCCTACACATTGACTGAGGCGAAGATGCGCTCCGTTTGCCAGAAGATTGCGATACA